AAAAAGCAATTTATTCAATTACAATGGCTAACTCAGAAGTTGAATTAAATGAACTTTAATCACAATAATGATTTTATCTCCGCACCGTTACATCAACACCATCTACTGTGGTGTTTACGCTTAAAAATGCGGTTTTGTCATGAAAAGCGGAAAACAACGCACCTACATGCGCTACAAAAATCAGTTGGTTTCATTTTCAATACAATGCCCTAGTTCACTTTTTTATTTTTGATCTGACGACACCACAGCCACCAACAGCAGCTACCACGGCCTGCACTGTGAGGCGTTTAGGGAACATCGGTAAATTGTAACTTCTATTAATAAACAGATGTTCAGCAAGGGATGTGCTTTGCCTGCGACAAGCTGCGAGGTGCGACCACATAAGGAAGTTGGTCACACCGGTGCTACCAGTGAAAAAGTTAGTATGGAGCCCTGACATACAAAAAAAAAAAAAGAGTGCACTCCTGGGTGTAACTGTGAAACTGTTAGTGACTCAGCTGTAACCAACAGTCATGTGACCAAAATTCAGGGCTGAACTGAACTAGGCTGAGTGTGAGTGGATAAGAGACAAGTGCAGAAAAACATTCAAAATAAAAGTAGTGAACTATCTTACAGTATGTAGAGTCATGTTTTTGGTGATGGTAACACCTTTGGGCACTTTGAAACATTTTGTGCACATTGATTTCAGTTTTTGCTTTTTTAGGGGTAAAATGAATAATGACAGGTATTCAACTTTTGTTGTTTTTTTTTAATTTATGCCAATTTAGCTGTGTAATATTGCACCAAAGACATTTTTGAGTTTTCTCTGTATCTAGTCATGGTTATGCTGTTTTCATGGAGGTACAAGACTTTAGGGTGAAGTTAAAATGGGCTCACTGTGACAACAAATGTATCAGAAGTAAAAATGCCTCCAAACTTCTTGGGGTTCAGGGGGTTCAGATTCTGTGATAACGGTGATCATATTGCCATATTGTTTTACCTGTACTACTGTAGTTATTTCCACTTTGGTTTCAGGCTAGAATGTGTGTTATTAGTAGCCCCCACATGCAGATTTTGCACTCATTGAGAACTAAGTTAACCATAAAATTCTGCACAATGGAGCTTTTTAGCAGGGCAGTGGATGGTGCTAAAGTCCCAGTATTTCAACACAATCAGCTGCCAAGCTTTAAAGCTCAATGTTGAGAAAGTTAGGTTGAAACTACAAGATACTTAACTGCCTTTGTCCTGAAGGTAGGGATTCACAGTGCTGGATCTTTGCCAGTATCTGATATGCTGATATTTCCTAACAAATCTTGGCTGTTTGCTGATGCCAACACTTTCCACCTGCAGCCAACATTTAGTCTCTTCTATACTAGAATTAACATCATTTTGTTGACTCTTATAATAATTATCTGTCAGTCAGTGTTTATTTTAGGCCACTGCCCATATTTCACTTCATGTCCTTTGTCAGTTGCTACTGATGACGTGCTGACATCAGGAAGCTGAAGGCATCACAGATCTGCTCCTACTAGAACTGATGTGTGGTGTAAGGAAACTTTAAATCCTAGTTGTCTTTTCGTGCCTATAAATGAGAGATGGATAGCAGCAGCACCTGGGAAGCAGTCAGGAAGACACAGGCAACAAAATCCAAACTCAGGCCACGGAGCTGCTGGTAAGAATATACTGTACATGTACACACACTGTGTCGCTGAACAGAAAAGCACTGTTCACCCAAGCACAAGCTGACACACACACACATCAGCCTTCTGTAGTCGGTCCACCAACCCTTCATCTAGATATGAGAGCTCTGAACCCTGCGCTGTCAGTCACCGTGGAGCTACATTTTCACATAGTTCACCATTTCTGCGTCTTCTCTTTGATGCTAAAAATTGTATTGATGCTGGATCAGAGTCTGAGCTGTGTGAGGAGCGGACATGTACTAAGCAGGGTAAGAAAGAATGTGCTGTCCCTGTGTAAGTAGACCATTTTGCTTCTTGTTTCTTTGTCTCTTTGTCTCCTTGCACTGAATGCATGGACATGTCTGCCTGTGATGCGTAAATGCTTTGTGTCCCGGTATGTGACTGACATGTGACCTGCATGAGAGACAGTTACCTGATGTTTAATGTCTTCAGCTGTGAGAAGTACAGCAGCAGCGATGTGCCTGCAGCACTTCCAAGCTGACCTAATTATATTGACATTTTCTGTCAGTTCAATGGCTCCTCTATGGATCTTCCATTGATTTTAATGCACTGTTCAATGACTGTTAACATCTTTGAGGATGTAGTGGGTTTGTGGTGGAGCTGAGGGTTGGAATTGTGGAGGATGATGGGGTTTTTTTTCTCTGAGGATAATGCCATACAAGTTTCTAATGTATTTTCATCAGTGGGAGTCATTTGTGCTTAGGTGGCATATTTCTCTCAATGGTTGCCATGGAAACATTTCCCCATTTGTTGAGGGAGTGTGCAGCGGGAACGGTATCTTTAGAGACAGGACAGTATAAAGTCTGCTACAATGGAGCTTTGCTGCTCGTGGGAAGCCCGAGAGGAGTGGATGGAACACAGAAGGAATCTTAAATGAAGAAACATGAATGAATGTTTTCTTTCAGATCACAGAAACTGTGACTGTAGAAAACATTTCTACCCCGGTGCATTATGTGATTTGTCACTGTCGCCCCTTTTCTGTTTACATAAGATGGCACTTTACACCTCGAAATAATACTAGTAAAGGGCCAGATTCATGTTTGTACCACACATGTCTGATTTTATTGTAGTTTTGTTCATCGTTCCTATTGATCACGTTGACATTTACTCTCCTAAACTGATCCCTTAGATCTGTGGATCCAATCAGTAGACTTACTGTGGAGATACTGTGAGTAACCACCTGCCAGCTATCCAGACAGGTTATGAATAAAAAGTTCAGTTTAACCATATTAACTCAGCCACTTCATTCCCCAAATTAACACAATGCGTCTTTGTAGTTCCAGTTTAGGTGCAGTTACTTTGATTTTTACTCAGTTTCAATTAAGTGGCTTGAATGGGGATTTGTTTCCATTCAGACTAGTTCTCTAAAAAACTTGTAATGTGGAGTCAAACTTCGTGTCCTGTTTGTGCAACAAACAGTCCAGGATGCCTCCCAGTGAGAGCTGCATTTGCACTGAGTGCATTTTCAAACTGAAAATCAGAGTGACTACAGTATAATTTTGCTTTGGAAGAGAGCCTTTTTATTATCTTCAACCACATAAGTGAAGAAAATAGACAATAGAAAGGATGTTAAAACTGGTAAGTTTAATAAACAACTTTAGAAGAAAGTTTGACCAGCTGTTTTTTCCTGTGCTCACAAAGTAATTGTTCTCTGACTTTGTTAAACTGCCTCTCTGGTCGTTGATTAAACCCATAAAACATATCTGTGTATCAAGTTACATATTTTAAATTGTTAGAATTTTTGTTTTTCCTTGAAAATGATCCCTTCCTTCCCTTAAATGGCTGAGATGTAATTCTACACTGCTGCTGCCTCCAGAATGTACAGATCTATGAAGGCTGTCTCCAAACGCCCCTCCACACTCACTGCAGCTGAAGCACACCAGCTCACCTCCAACTCCACTCAAACACTGTAAAACTACTGTATGCTGCACAATGACAGGTTGTTGTGTTGGAGGAATTCAGTCATACATTTTTAAATAAACAAAGAATAATGATACAGGAAGGAAGTTAGCGAGGTAAGAAGCTCTGTAGTTTACTGTGGAGGTTTCAGTTTCTTACAGCCTGTTCTTAAGTGGATGTAGGTTTGTTTTGGAATGAACAGAATTCTGACACAACAAGGCAACATTCCTGCTTTATGTCTGTGTAGATTTTCAGTCATCCAGGTCATGGTAGTCCCAAAAAACTGGACTTCTCGTTCCCCATACGACTTCTGTAGTTCAAACTGAAGAAACTTTTTCAACAGTTTCAAGAACCAAGAAGCTGATTTATACTGAAGCTCTTAGGATTCATGATTTATTTTTAAACGTGTTTCTGTTTTACACAAGAAAAGACTATTCATGATATTAACTAACTGATTGGGTTTATGGACATCACTTTGCAGCGTACAGCCACTTTTCTGAGCTTTCTGCTGGGCAGCGGTCAGGATTGTTTCTCATACAGTGGATAAGGCAGTGCCAGATGGCAGCTGTGTCGGACCAAGACTGGACTGAATGAAGTGGAACCTGAAGGTCCCTCAAGGGTTTTACAGCAAAGATTTTTCAGATCAGCTGTTGATTAACTTTCTTTGGTCTGAAGTTTCTGAGGGAAGAGTTTATCATTCAGGCTCTTCCAAGAAATGCTGGGCTTTGAAACTATTTGCGTTTAGGCACGTTTTATTACCCCTAGTAACCTTGAATCAGAGGTGAACGTCACTTCAGTTCTCTCCAAATGATTTCTGTGTGATTCCTCTCTGCTCACTTTGTTGATATCGTGTCTTATGTTCACACCAACAACAGCTGGATAAAAACTTGAATGAGAACATCAGTAAACAACAATCTGTCATGCAAAGACTTTTCAAGCTTAAAGAGCTGCTCAGTACTGCATCCATGAAACCCCAAATCCACACAGTACCTCTGCGAAAGTGAATATCCACAGTTTTCCTCAAAATCACCCAATAATAAATAAGTTAGAAAACATTTGAATAAACTGTTTAAAGTACAGTTCAATGTGGACGTGAGCTGTATCTCAATGTTTCTTTATGTCCAGAGTTCAGTTTGTCCTCTGGGGAATTGCAACGCTCCAGGCCGGCCAGCTGGCTCCTGGTGACTCGATGGCTCTGATTATTTCAGTTTAGGGATGGAGTCCATCTCCCCAATCAGACGCTCCTTTCCTAATGTACTCCCCTGGCGCGTGTCGAAAGAGCTGTGTAAACGCTTTTGAGCGGTATAGGAGTCACCTTCAGGTAGCACGCGAGAGAACGTGGCTTCACTTGTTCACATCATCCTTGCCCTCCACCTTCCTCTGCCCACCCTCTAATCCACGTAATCACGTTAATGGGCCAGGATGGCTCTCCAACAGGCTGACAGAGCCGGCAGAGCGGGGAGGGGGCAGGTGAGGAGGATCAATGAAGAAGAAGGGAGTTTGAATGAACAGGTGAACCAGAAAATTCACTAAGAGGAGCTGTATAGGAAAGTTTTAATGCTGGGAAGAGAGAAACTGTTGCGTAGGTCGGGAGCTCTTGGTATTATCAGGACATAGTTTCTGATACCACAAAACTTACCAGAGGGTTTGAAGTGTGTTCTCTCTCCTTCTAGCCATAGTTGAGTTGTTTGCATTGAGGTTC